GTATTAGGTGTGACCACTTGCATTTGATTGCAGTGTTGTTTGAGAGAGAATCACCTTCATCCTACACCTCTTGCGAATTGATAAACCGTAGGTCATCCAGTTGAGGGAAATTTGGCACTGTCCTACAAAACTTTGCGCTTGGAGGTCCAACAAAGTCTACAGGAATAAAGTTGCGCAGTAGACATCAGTGCCAATGAGAACAAGGTGGCAATCGGTGGTCCAAACGGGACAGGGAGACATGAGGGGTCCCATGATCTAGGGGCGATGCTCTCCCCCTTCTTTCCTATGCGTGTGCGTCAGAAAAGACTAGGAAAGAGGGGATAGGGGACATATCTGATGATTGTGCTCTTCCAGATGGTGCGGCTCTAGAGTTGACCGACCAAGACCTGGCCAGTCGACCCACGCAGAGTACCATTTAGAAAAACTTCAGGCGGTAAGTTGATAGCACTAGGTTGAGTAGGGCCGCTCAGATCTAAACTCTAGCCTATTAACAAGAAGACAAGGTGAGATTGCAAGTGCATCGGATATTTCCCCTCTCTCGAGTGCCCTCTCCCACTTGCACCTCCATGCCATGGATCTCGCCGGCGGAGAGGAGTGTAAGGGAAGGCGATTGAGAGGGGTGATGGACTTCCCGGAGGGCGACTTGGAGCTGCTCGAGCGGGTTCCCGTGGCGGATAGGCTCCCTTAGATTTGACGCTGACGAAGATGGAAGGGATTGGGAGGAGCATATCCTGGTCTCGGCGCGCCTTGCACGGATTTGTCAGGCCAGACTGAGCATGGAGACTGGGATGTCAAGGAGATCGCAAAGCTTGCTCTGCACGTGGTCTCGCGGTCCATAGAGGAGGCGAGAGGAGGATTGTACGTAAAGGGACACCCCTGAGATAACGAGGTTCCTATCTAGGCGGCGGCGTAGGCGGGCTCGTCTACACTTGAGTGGAGGGAGAGATGGATCGACTTTTGGGCAGGAAAGGCGTCGCCTTAGCTGACGCTCAAAGGGGGCCGAGCCCATGCTCCGAAGAGACTCATAGTGAGAATCCTTCCCCCTTCCCCTCCTCATGTAGTCATAAATTCTTCGATGACCTTATCCCCATGGAAATGCAGGTAGAGGCAACAACACATTCTTTGGATGGGATGACATCTAGAACTGAGAGTTCTGCGGCCCCTAATAATGTTGCTAGGGATGTGAAATATTCTGATTTTTTTGGGGAATTTCCTTCTATTTGAATTACTGATTTCATAATCATTCACATTGAGTTGATGAGAGCGGTGCTTTTGGCTAGCTCGGGCTTGCATTGATCACTGATGTGGGATATTTGGCAACGGCGAATCCAAGGGGCAGGCTTGGATGGGCTCAAGCCTGCCCTCCAAAATCGAACATTTTTTACTACTACTCATTAGCGCAGCCCAGCCTAAAAAACACAGGCCCGTCTGCTCAGCAGTCAGCCCAGCCCCTGTAAACGCTGGTCCCGAGCACCAATTCGAGCGTGCTGCAACACATCTCGACGCCTCACCCAGCCACAGCTATGCCACACCGCACCGCAACCCTAGCCGCCGCCGGAGCATTTCGCGACGCCGTCGACGGAGAGCACGCCGTGACGCCGTCCACGGACTACACGCCGTGAGGACGCCCACGAAGAGCAGCACGGTACGCCACGACGCCGTCGACGGAGCACATAGCCAGGGGCCCACGGACACCGCCGGAGCCAGCCGTTGGGGCCTCACTGGCCGTTCGTGGTGTTGGGGAACGTAGCAGAAATTCAAAATTTTCCTACGTGTCACCAAGATCTATCTATGGAGAGACTAGCAACGAGGGGAAGGAGAGTGCATCTACATACCCTTGTAGATCGCTAAGCGGAAGCGTTCAAGTGATCGGGGTTGATGGAGTCGTACTCGTCGTGATTCAAATCACCGATGATCAAGTGCCGAACGCACGGCACCTCCGCGTTCAACACACATACAGCCCGGTGACGTCTCCCAAGCCTTGATCCAGCAAGGAGAGAGGGAGAGGTTGAGGAAGACTCCATCCAGCAGCAGCACAACGGCGTGGTGGTGGTGGAGAAGCGTGGCAATCCTGCAGGGCTTCGCCAAGCACCGCGGGAGAGGAGGAGTACTTGTGAGAGGGGGAGGGCTGCGCCAGAACTTCGTCTATAGCTCCCATGCACCTCCCCACTATATATAGGGGTGGAGGGGCTGGTTTCTTGCCCTCCAAGTCCATTGGGGCGTTGGCCAAGGTGGGAGGAAAGAAATCTCATTATTTCCTTCCCCACCGATTGTTATCCCCCCTTTTTAGGGATCTTGATCTTATCCCTTCGGGATATGATTTTATTCCTTCTAAGGGGGGATCTTGGTGCGCCTTGACCAGGGGTGTGGGGCCTTGCCCCCACTACCCACGTCCATGTGGGTCCCCCCATGCAGGTGGGCCCCACTCCGGAACCTTCTAGAACCTTCCCGGTACAATACCGAAAAATCCCGAACATTTTCCGGTGGCCAAAATAGGACTTCCCATATATAAATCTTTACCTCCGGACCATTCCGGAACTCCTCGTGACGTCCGGGATCTCATCCGGGACTCCGAACAACATTCGGTAACCACATACAAACTTCCTTTATAACCCTAGCGTCATCGAACCTTAAGTGTGTAGACCCTACGGGTTCGGGAGACATGTAGACATGACCGAGACGTTCTCCGTTCAATAACCAACAGCGGGATCTGGATACCCATGATGGCTCCCACATGTTCCACGATGATCTCATCGGATGAACCACGATGTCAAGGACTTAATCAATCCCGTATTCAATTCCCTTTGTCTATCGGTATGTTACTTGCCCGAGATTCGATCGTCGGTATCCAATACCTTGTTCAATCTCGTTACCGGCAAGTCACTTTACTCGTTCCGTAACACATCATCCCGTGATCAACTCCTTGGTCACATTGCGCATATGATGATGTCCTACCGAGTGGGCCCAGAGATACCTCTCCGTTTACACGGAGTGACAAATCCCAGTCTCGATCCGCATAAAACAATAGATACTTTCGGAGATACCTGTAGTGCACCTTTATAGTCACCCAGTTACGTTGTGACGTTTGATACACCCAAAGCACTCCTACGGTATCCAGGAGTTACACGCTCTCATGGTCGAAGGAAGAGATACTTGACATTGGCAAAGCTCTAGCAAATGAACTACACGATCTTTTGTGCTAGTCTTAGGATTGGGTCTTGTCCATCACATCATTCTCCTAATGATGTGATCCCGTTATCAACGACATCCAATGTCCATAGCCAGGAAACCATGACTATCTGTTGATCACAACGAGCTAGTCAACTAGAGGCTCACTAGGGACATATTGTGGTCTATGTATTCACACGTGTATTACGATTTCCGGATAATACAGTTATAGCATGAATAAAAGACAATTATCATGAACAAGGAAATATAATAATAATACTTTTATTATTGCCTCTAGGGCATATTTCCAACACGTGGATCCCACCGGCAATCCGCAGAGCCCTGCGTCAAGGGCTCGACTGCTCGGGGCACCGGCTCATCAGGTCCAGTTCAAAGGTTATTTTTCTCCTACCCAACGTTGCTCATACCATTGTTTTTTGCAGAAATCCAGTAGCATAGTTGGCCTGGGCTTCTAGTCATAATCTGTGAGTTATTTCTATGTTTTTTTTGTAGAAATGAAAAGAAATACTTTGCACAATTGGTTTGCAAGCACTTCGAACACCCCCCATATTGTTGTTCCTGAACTAGCAGCAACGCAAATTCCGAACTTGAACCCTCTTACTCCAACAATTGAGAGCAGTAATCCCCCAACAGAGGAGAGAACTATCCCTCCTTCAAACGAGAGAACTACCCCCCCCCTCAATCGAGAGCACCAACCGCCCAATTGATGAGAGCACAAACCAACCACCAACACCAAGGCTTCTTATCCAAGAGTTTCACCCAAGTCAAATTTTTGGTGATCCGGCATATCGAATACCAATAGAAGATCATGCCCCTGAAATTCGAAGTGAAGTTAGAAGAGCTTATTTGTTGAAAGGAAGAAACAAAGCTGAAGGGCATAATTTTGAAATCACATTGGATGGTACAATCCGGAGATCTTTTCAACCACAATGGCTAGATAGGTTTGATTGGTCGGAATATAGTGTGAAAAAGGAGGCTGCCTATTGCTTCCATTGTTTTCTTTTTAAGAAACCATCACAGGCTGCTACATTTGGAAATGATGTATTCACATTACATGGTTATCGTCGTTGGAAAACAGCTTTAGCAAAATTTCAAAAACATATTGGTGGTCCATCTAGTTACCACAATAACGCTATAGGCTTGTGTGATGATTTCAAGAATCAAAGGGCAAATGTGGCAACCAGATTCCGTGTTTACAATAAAGAGGCTGAGATAGCCTACAAAATCCATTTGACTGCATCCTTAGATTGTGCAAGGTATCTCATAGCACAAGGGGAAGCTTTTCGTGGGCATGATGAATCCTTCAATTCAATCAACAAAGGGGATTTTAGGGAGCTCTTGGATTGGTACAAGTGCAAGCGGAAAGATGTGGAGGAGGCATTTGATAAGGGACAGGGTAATGCACTTATGATATGTGGAGAAATTCAAAAGGATCTTGCTACATGTTGCGCAATGGAGGTAACCAAAGTCATCAAGAGCGAGCTTGGACATAAGAATTTTTCAGTTCTAGTCGATGAGGCTAGGGATTGCTCAATAAAGGAGCAAATGGCAGTGATTTTGAGATAATGCATATGAGTTTGCATTTTTCTTTATCTTTACATTTGTAGCTAGTTTGTCTTGTTTAATTCGCAACTTCCCTAATGTGTAGATTTTTGGATGATCACGGGGTGCTTCAGGAGAGATTTCTTGCAATCAAGCACATCTCTGATTGTACATCTGCTGGAATCAAAGAAGCATTGGCTGATCTGTTAGCTTACCATGGCTTGCCTATTTCTAGACTACGTGGGCAGGGTTACAATGGAGCTTCAAATATGAGAGGAGAATTCAATGGTTTGCAAAAGTTGATTCGAGATGAGAGTCCATATGCTTTCTATGTACACTGCTTTGCCCATCAATTACAGTTGGTAGTTGACACAGTTGCTCAATGTTGTCCAGTTATTGCTGATTTATTCAATTATCTCCCCTTGATAGTGACTCAGGTGGGTACATCTTGCAAGAGAAAAGATGCATTACTTGCAAAGCATCACGATGATTTGATGAAATTGATGGAGCATGGTAAGATCATAGCTGGAATTGGGTTACATCAAGAAACTAACCTTTCTAGACCAGGAGCTACTCGTTGGGGCTCACATCTTAGAACCTTGCTTCGTATTTACACAATGTGGAATGCGGTGGTCGATGTGCTAGCAATCATGGTTGACGATGCACGAGAACACACTTGTCAAGGTGGAGCTTCAGGTTTGATCATAAAATGGAATGTTTCCAATTTGTGTTTATCATGTTATTCTTAATAAACTTGTTACAAACCACAAATATGCTATCACAAGCTTTGCAAAGGAAGAAACAAGATGTTGTTGAAGCCATGCATTTGATCTCGGATGTGAAAGAAACTTTGCAAGATATGAGGGACAATGGATATGAGTCATTATGCAGCCAAGCCAAGATCTTTTGTGAGGAACATCGCATTGATGTGCCAAATATGGATGATCTTGTTGGAGCTATGGGTCAATCTGTTCGCACTAAAAATAAGGTGACTCGACATCATTATTTCAAAGTTAGCATATTCTATGTTGTTATTGATGCAACTATGACCGAGATGAACCATCGGTTCAATGAAATTAACACCGAGCTAGTGGATTGCATGTCTTGTCTTAATCCAGCCAACAACTTTGCAAAGTTTAATGTTGACAAATTTATCCAGCTTGCTGAAATTTATGCGGATGATTTTACAGAAACTGACCGGTTGCTGCTTAGAATTGACCTTCCAAGATTCCTTAGAAATATCAGGAGAAGTGAGGAATTTAATGAATGTTCGGATGTTTCCACCCTTGCTCAGTTGATGGTTCAATCAACAAAACATGCAACTTTCCCAACAGTATATCGCCTCATCGAGTTGACATTGATCCTCCCCGTGGCAACTTCATCAGTTGAGCGAATTTTTTCAGCTATGAAGATCATCAAAACAGATTTGCGCAATTAGATCTCGGATGATTGGCTCAATGACTTAATGGTGTGCTATTGTGAGAAAAGGATATTCAAAAGTATTCATGATGATCAGATCATGATACAATTCCAGAAAAAGAGTGATTGGAAAGCTCACTTGCCTCGTGAGTATAATGTGATTGCTTAAGAGGTATATCTCATTTCTTTTCTAGTTCTAGTACTCAACTTTGTATACAACTGTTTTGTCGCAATAAACTAGCTACTTTTGGACAGATGGCATGGCGCTTGGGATCTGAAGCATATAATCTATATAGTTCTACAGTAGCATTGGTTAGAAGCAAAACCGGCATCATTGCTTTCGTCTTCCTTTTTGTTGCTTTTGTAGTACTTTATCTATTATTGTGTGAATTGTATGCTTTCGAATCAAAAGTTTGTGGTATGACCAAATATGTTACTACTTACTAGTATTGGTGTTGTAAAATAGCATGTCGTTTCGAGCTCATATCTGGCACGTGTTGGCTGTTTAAATTGACCATACCAATTTTTACCTCGAAATTTGACTACTTAAAAAAATCTGAGAAAACTCCTGTAAATACTACGTGTGACTACTATGAATCTGGGAGAGTTTGAGCATCTTTGGACAAAGGGATTGATATATTAACTTTGAGCCCCCCCCCCCACCTTCCATTTCCTTTCTGGATTCGCCACTGATATATGGGATCGGTTTGTATTCCCTGGCCTTGTGTTTTTTCTTGAAAATCAGTTAGGTTATGATTGTAGGATTATACAGGACGGGTGAACCTAAGAGATTTCTCTGTGTGCGGGCAATTAGTGGCTGTGGCAATCGCCGACCGCGTTGTCGTCTGACATAACGGTATAGTCCTCAGAAGTTTGGCAGAGGGGATGATCATCGCTCGTGTCTATGTAGACATGTATGTGGGCTACGAGAGTTGAATACCAGTTCGCTTGGCCGAGTGGCACATGACTCATGACAAGAGGGGAGTAGAGGAATACTTCATGCATATCGGTATCGGCTGTAGTGGTAAAAGATTCATATGTCCGGATTGTTATTCATATATTCATCTCCACTGGTGATGATCCATATGATGGGTTGTGAGTAATTTGTTACGTTCTTGAGAACATGAGATAAATCTTTTCACTGTTAATCTTGTGAAGTTGAACCTAATTCAATGTGTTTGATATTATGTTCTGATGTACTCCCTCTATAAATTCATATAAGATGTTTTAGATCACTACTTACAGAGGGAGTAATTCTCTAGTTTGCTTTGATTTTTCACGCCCTGGGCCATGGCATAGGTAGCTTGGGGGTCAGGTATGCCGTTTGCATGTAAACCTGACAACTAGGACATAAATGACAGATTTTTTTCTTTTTGAATAGAGACACCTAAAGAGCATCTTTAGATTTGATTACTATCGAGAAAAACGAAAACAAGTACAGTAGAATGACAAAAAATACATTAAAAAGCATCCTACTCTTCTTCTTTCTATGATTAAATGTCACCAGTTGTGAAGTTGTATAAATGTTCATTTGCTCAACTACAGATAGAATACCTGGGTCATGTCATTAGTGGGCAAGGACCAAGGGGTGGCTACAGACTAAAAGAAGATCCTCATAGTGAAATAGTGGCCTACTTCCAAGTCAAGCACATTAAGAATTGCACTGAACCAACGACAAAGAAAAGCGACATCTGGGAACGTCCTTGCCATCATACTAGGCCTTAAAGACCGCAATAGCCACTCGCCCAAGATGCATAAACTAGTAAGATTTTAAGGGAACCAACCGATCTAGAGACTCTCATAGGTCTTTCATCGGTGCCGCATCGAACTTCACCGAGATAAGGAAAGACCGAAGAGATCTTATTCCAACACACCATCATTGCCATTACCTCGTCGATGTCATTGAAGAAGAAAAACTTAAGAAAAATAAAACGAGACGGACGGGTCTCCTCTCTTCTTGCCGTCGATGAGGCCATCGAACAGGAAAGAGGAGGGGGACTGTCGGTGTCAAAACCGGCGGATCTCAGGTAGGGGGTCCCGAACTGTGCGTCTAGGCGGATGATAATAGGAGGCAGGGGACACGATGTTTTACCTAGGTTAGGGCCCTCTTGATGGAGGTAAAACTCTACCTCCTGCTTGATTAATATTGATGATATGGGTAGTACAAGAGTAGATCTACCACGAGATCAGAGAGGCTAAACCCTAAAAGCTAGCCTATGGTATGATTGTTGTTCGTCCTATGGACTAAAACTCTCTGGTTTATATAGACACCGGAGAGGGCTAGGGTTACACAGAGTCGGTTACAATGGTAGGAGATCTACATATCCGTATCGCCAAGCTTGCCTTCCACGCCAAGGAAAGTCCCTTCCGGACACGGGACGAAGTCTTCAATCTCGTATCTTCATAGTCCAGGAGTCTGACCGAAGGTATAGTCCGGCCATCCGGACACCCCCTAATCCAGGACTCCCTCAGTAGCCCCTGAACCAGGCTTCAATGACGACGAGTCCGGCGCGCAGATTATCTTCGGCATTGCAAGGCGGGTTCCTCCTCCAAGTACTTCATAGAAGATTTTGAAAACAAAGGTAGTGTCCGGCTCTGCAAAATAAGTTTCCACATATTGCCATAGAGAGAATAATATTTACACAAATCTAATCTGCTGACGTATTCCGCAGCGTGACATCACACCACAGCCAAGTCTTTATTCGAATCGTTTTACTATCCCACCTCAGCGCGTTTAGCGAGGCAGTTTCCTTGGCACGTCTTATTAAAGCAGAGATCATGTCCCCTTATCCCGGGATTCTCATCAATACAGGCGTGGGTAACCCAACCGCGCCATTGACTATGTGTAACATCCCAAAATTCTAAATTTTGGAATGTTATATTAAATAAATAACTTTGATTATTTGTTTGATTGTGAGTGACTGATTGTGTGAAATTGAGTGGCATTTGGAAATTTCAGAGGCATTTGCATTTTATTTGAATTTGGATTCAACTTGGCATTCAAAATTTATTTTATATACCCATGACAAATACTTCTTTAAAAATATGAGAGGAGGAATATGACACTCCAAAAAAAATATTCAAAGACAATGTTTGACAATTTATTTGAAACTTAAATTCCCTTTCAGTTTGAAGTTATTGCAAAATTATTTTTTAAAGTATTTTATTTCTTCATGAAAATATGTTCATGTTTTAGGAGATTTTATTCTGAAAATTTTGGTATATAATATGCCTATATAAAATGTTTTTTTATTTTGTGTATTTATTTGCATTGTTGTTTATAAAAAAAACAGCCCAGCGCCGCCAGGCCAGTCGGCCCAGCAGGCCGAGCCAGGCCAGCCTTAGCGCCCAGGCTTGCACGAGAGCTGCCCTAGCGAGCGCTCCCAGCTCCCATGAGCCGCCGCCACCCTTTTCTTCGTTCTCTCTCTCTCTCCCTCGTGTTTTTTTTCTCTAGCGCATGGACCACACCCCGCTCTTTTCTTCTTCCCCACGTACATGTACAGAAACAAAAAAACCTATACGTACGCGACACCGCCGCCGAGTCCGATCTTCGTGGAAAACCTATCCCGAGTCTCCCCCTCGTCCAAGCAAGTTGTCCTATAAATAGCCACGACTATCCTCTCCTGACCCCCTCGAAAACCCTCGCCAAAACCCACCGTGTCACGCGACCTCATCCTTTGGATCTCACCGGAGTTCACGCGGTTCACCGGTTGTTTCCGACGCTTGTAAGTATCCTCGAAACCTTTCCTTCCATAGCCAACTATCCCTCGTTGTTGCGAACCTCTTTGACATGTTTTGGACGCCCAGGGAGCACCGGAGCCACCGCCTCGAGCTCACAACGCCGCCGGAGTTCACGAAGTTCACCTGGACGCCACGCTTGACTCCGACGTTCCCTCGCCTCACTGTCCACAGAAAATCGGACCCCCTCGGAGTCCTCCACCTGCTGGACATCGCTGTCTCCGCCGCCGGTCACCGGAGCCGTCGCCCCCGACGCCATCCACTTCCCTGTCTACACGAGCTCCTCTCTGTAAGCAACGAGCGCCTCCCTCCATTTTTTTTCCGAAGCGTTAAGTGCAAATAAGATTAGATCGGTTTTAGTAGATCGGTTCTATTAGTCGGTTTATTTCGGTTTAGATCACACTGGTTCATCGGTTTCTTTTTATTAAACATACGTGCACGTTTCTATAGCCGAGCGACGGTTAGTTACAGATCGCTCAGATCCTAGCCCAGTAGACTTGCCCGTTATTTTTTATTTTCGTTTCTATAAAAAAACAGAAAAGTTTCAAGCTTAGATATTCTATAACTTTTATGTTTTATATCCAAATTGAGTGATTCTTTTTGCATTGTGTCACAAATTTGTTGAAGTTTCTGTTTGTGTACTTAGTTTTCAAATTTGAGTAGTGTAAATTTGAGTTTTATGAAATTTGTTCAAATCACTATTTTGGCCGTATCTTGAGTTTTATTAAATATTTTTGATTGATTCTTTTTGCTACTATTTTGTTATTGTTTGGTTTATCTAGTAGAATATAGTTATTTATTTTAATTTATTTTTAAATTAGATTTTTAGGCAAAACAGTATTGTTTTAGTTCTACTTTTGTTTTAACCTTTTCTTTATAGTTTTAATTGTTTTTAAATTATTTCTTTTTGTCACTTTTGACAAATTTAGTTTTGTTTCTGTTATTTAACTGTAGACAATTTTATTCTTATTTTAAAATTTTATTTTCTTAGTTTTGTATGGAAACTTGTATAGGTCATAGTTAGAGTTTTATAAAAGCTTTTTATTTGTTTCTTTTTGCAAATAAAGTTTTATGAAAAATACTTTATGTTAACTTAGTTGATTTAAATTTTATTTTCTGTTGAAATTATTAGTTTAGTATTTTCTTTGTTAAGTTTTGCTTAGGACAAAACTATTTTTGTAGTTAAGGCAAAAGGTTTTCCTAGTAGGTTCTTTATAGTTTTCCCCTATTAGTTCTTTCGATGTGCTATTTGTTTTGTGTTGGGTTTTGTTATTGAGTTTT